ACCAGCAACGGGATCACAACCCTCGGTGTTGTGCCCGCACCTCGCTCAGCCAGTGAGCGGGAACCGGTCTCCACATGGGATCCGAACCCTCGGCGGGAGCGCTACTGCGCTCCCAAGCGGCGCACTATAGCAGTGCGCCACCGGGCCGGCCCAACCTTAGAAATCATTTGTCTTCATTGATAAGTGAGGATCTTCACCCGTGGAGAGATGAAGCGACTGTTTAGTTAGGTGGCTAGCGATGGTGTGGGCATTGAAAACCGAGTCCTCTGTTGAGATTGCTTACTGTGTTATTTTTCTACTAAAAGCAGACTTTTTTTTTTCAAGGTGACCGGTAATGGGATCTCAACCCTTGACTTGGTGTTGTCAGCACCACGCTCTCCCAAGTGAGCCAACTGGCCATCCCTATATAGGGATCCGAACCCATGGCCTTGGTGTTATCAGCACCACACTCTCCCGAGTGAGCCACGGGCCAGCCCTTAAAAGCAGACTTCTGAATGTTGCATATATAAATCATTGCCTAAAATTTTAGTTAGTATTCTCTATATGTATAGCACCTCTCAATACTTTTTCTGTTTTCATACTTCTCAAATGTAGACTATGTGACTTTCAGGTAACTTTTGTCATTACATGCATGAATGGGGGAAGGTTCGGAAAGTGGCTTTGTTGTGTGAGGAAGTCTTCATTCCAAAGATTAAATGGAGGGGTCTTAAGTGCCCAATTACTCTCCCACCCCCAATTTTTTAAAATCACTGTTCTACAGGATTTGGAGATTACAGATGATAGATTATTTTAGGGTCTCACAATGAATTTAGTTTTTCTAGTATGTGTTTTTTTCTTGAGAATTGTAGCTTTTTTTTTATTGGCAAATGTTTTATGATCTTAATGACCCAGTTTGTGCTTTATACCAATAGGAGTTATAAAATGCTCAGAGCTTGGTGACTTAATTGTAGCTATACTGTTTTTTTGTTAAGAGGCCATGAGTACAATTTTAATTCTGCAAGGGGAAAAGTTATTAAAATTATCAGTTGTCCAAAAATATTTTAACTGCTCTAAAATTCTCTTATGTTAGGAGAAATAGACCACCATTAAGAATAATTTTTGATGTTTTTTCCTACTTTTTTTTTTTTTTGTCTTTTTTCGTGACCAGCAACGGATCGCAACCCTCAGTGTCGCGCCTGTACCAGACCGGGACCGGCCACGGGATCACAACCCTCGGTGTTGCTCCCGCCCCTCGCTCAGCCAGTGAGCGGCCAGTCTGTATGTGGGATCCGAACCCTCGGCGGGAGTGCCACTGCGCTTCCCAAGCGGCGCACTATAGCAGTGCGCCACCGGGCCGGCCCATTTCCTACTTTTTTTAATTTAAGAATTCATTATAAAAAGAATTGCAAGTGGGGCCGGCCCGGTGGCGCACTGCTACAGTGCGCCGCTTGGGAGCGCGGTGGCGCTCCCGTCGAGGGTTCGGATCCCACATACAGACCGGTTCCCGCTCACTGGCTGAGCAAGGTGTGGGAGCAACACCGAGGGTTGCGATCCCGTTGCCGGTCCTGGTCCGGTACGGGCGCGACACTGAGGGTTGCGATCCGTTGCCGGACACGAAAAAAGACAAAAAGGAAAAAAAAAAATTGCAAGTGATACATAAGAAATTTAAAAAGTAAAAGCTCCTCTCATCTTCAAGAAATAAATGTGATGCATATTACCCGTATTACTCACACATGTAGTTTTTTTGTTTTGTTTGTTTGTCTAATGAGATATACCTGTGGTTCTGTAACTTTCTTTTTACATTTAATAATATAAAAAATCATTTCACTTTTTTCCATTTGGTTCATACACTTTTACCTCATTTTTTGGCTGTATAATATTCCATAGTGTGAATGGGTCATAGTTCATCCACTTCAGTATTTTTTTTTAAATTTATTTTTTGAATTCATTTCAGTATTAATGGACATTTAGATTGTTTCTGAGATTTTTACCATTATAAAAAGTTGCAGCGTATATCTTTGTATATTTAACTTTGCATACACATGTTCATATTTCTGTAGAGTAGATTCCTAGAGATGTATTTGTTGAGTCAGAGTATGTACATTTAAAATGTTGGGCCGGCCCGGTGGCACACTGGATAGTGCGCCGCTTGGGAAGCGCGGCGGCGCTCCCACCTGAGGGTTCGGATCCCAAATACAGACCGGTTCCCGCTCACTGGTTGAGCGAGGCGCGGGAGCAACGCCGAGGGTTGCAATCCCGTTGCCGGACCCCAGTCCGGTACGGGGGCAACACTGAGGGTTGTGATCCGTTGCCGGACACGGAAAAAAAAGACAAAAGACAGAAAAAAAAATAAAAATAAAAATAAAAATAAAAATAAAATGTGGATTGATTACCCTGACAATTTACCCTGCAAAAATGCTGTGTCAGTTTATATTCCCACCACCAATGTATGAAAGTCATTTGCTGATATCCTTGCCCCACTTACTGATACTATAAATTTAATTTTTTTTTACTACTTGATAGGTGAAAAATTGTACTTAGTTGTTTAAAGTTGCATTTATTTCTTGATGTATTTGTGAAATTGGTGAACGTTTTTGATTTTTTACATTGTCTCTGTAGGGCACCAATTCTGGTTTAGACATCTGCTGTTTGATCATTGACCATGCAAATAATGTTTGTTTTTTCCTCCAATAAATATTTATTGAACATCTGCACTGTCCAGGGTACCATGGTAGGCACTATGGCAAAATAAAAATCTCTTATTTTTGAATATGATGTTTATTTAAACTAATATTCATTTTCCTGCTTTTTAGAACCTTGGATTTATCAACCTTTACAAGGTATAACCTTTTCTAAAAAACTTTTGTGCACCCTTTAGATAGCGTCAGCTAAAATATGGCTGTTGGGGTATGAAATTTTACATGTTTTCTCTCTGAAATGGTCTGTTTCAGGAATATAAGACTAACATTGCAAATATGATATTTAGTTTACCAAAATACATATTGAAGCTTTCTTAGAAATATTGCTTGAAATTCAGCTTTTTGATAAGTCTTTTGAATTACTGTGCTTTGTTATCTGTTGAAGTGAGGAATAAATGAGCTGTTTCTGGTCAATAGAATATTCTGGCTAACCTAGAGTACTTATCTGTACTAGAGTTTGAAAGGGTTTAGATATTGGCTAGTTCCTAGAAGTTCTTAAAAAGGAATCTTCAGTTTGTCTTGTGATGGAAAAAAACCTACAGCTTCCTTTACTTGCCACACAATGGCAGTCTTGCATCTTAAGTTAGGTGAAAGGCAGCCATCCAAGTTAATAGAAGCTCAGATTTTCAGGGTGATTGTTGCTAGAAATCTAAATTTTGATAATCTTCAACTTGGAAGCAAATTGTTTTTAAGGTTCATCTGTAAGCCAACTATTTGTTGCTTGGAATATATTTTACATGGAACCATGCTAAAAATTGTGGGGCCTACAGACACTTATTTAACCTTCAGTCTCCATTTATCTCTCCACTTATTTTAAATTTTATTTCTTACACTTTTGTACTATTTTTAAAATTGTAGTAAAATACATAAAAATATACATAATATAACATTTACCACTGAGCTACTTTTAGGTTTACAGTTCTGCAGTGTCAAATTCATTGTGTTAATGCAGTCATCACTATTTCCAAATTTATTCATCACCCCAAACAGAAGCTGTATGCTCATTTAAGCAGTAACTCTCCTTCACACTCACTCTCCCACATCCTATGGTAACCTCTAATTTACTTCCTGTCTCTATGAATTTTCCTGTTGTAGATATTTCATAGAAGTGGAATCATACAATACTGTCTGGCTTCTCTCACTTAGCATGTATCAGAACTTCATTCCTTTTTATGAGTGCATAATACTCCATTGTATGTATGCCATAGTTTATTTATCCACTCCTTTGTTGGTGGACACTTGATTTGTTTCCCCCTTTTGGCTCATGTGAATAATGCTGCACTGAACATTGGTGTAGAAGTATCTGCTTGAGTCCTTTGTATGCATTTTTGTTAAGCTGCTTTAACTCCTTTTTGAAACAAGGTGGGGCATAAATAAATGTTCACTCATAATGTTATTGTACTGGTCTCTTCTGGGTTGTGGAAGCTGTAGGCTCAAGTAGTGATGGAGGAAAACAGGTGTCGAGATGTTCCCTTCATCATTCCTGGACTGAGGTCTAGGCCTGGGCAGAACTGACCTTTCTGTACTTCTGCACACATCCTCTGTGTCCATCAGACTCTGCTGGCTGCCTTGCCCTTTGTTACCCCTTTCTACCCTCAAACTCCCTGCACCTTTCCACCCCACCCAGAAATCTCAGAACAGATGCTCTTGGCTAAGTGTGAAAAAATGTGATACAAGGACGTTTCTTAAAAAAGAATTCTTGATAACATTAATGAATTATGGTCCAGTGATTAGGATTCCACCCGGCCCATAATAAATGATCTAAAGAGAAAGACAGTTTAGTACAAAGGACTGTGAAATAAATTGGTCTTACCTGGGGTCAGTTGTCAGTTTCTTGCTTTTTTTTTTGCAACTGGCCAGTATGGGGATCTGAACCCTTGACCTTGGTGTTCCTGCTTTTGATTTGTTTTGTTTTGTTTTGTTTTTTGTTTTTGTTTTGGGCAGCTGGTGGGTAAGGGATCCAAACCCTTGACCTTGTTGTTACAGACACTGTGCTCTAACCAACTGAGCTAACCCGCCAGCCCCGGTGCTCCTGATTTTTTAAAAAATAGCATTTTCTTCTTCAAAAATTACATGTTGTCTTAAAGCTTCAACGTTTTTATTTACGGTGGCTCCCACTAGTAGCGGGGACTCTAGTGAATGCCCCGGGATGGGGTGGCTTTGGGCAGGGGCAGCCCTTGTGTGGAGGACTTTTTATGAGCCAAGGGCCACCTCCTTGGATCTAGTATTTAATGAACAGTGAATTGGTGAATTGGGAAAGGTAAAGTGTTTATAAGACAGCATGACCTATTCAAGAAATAAAATGCCACCCCCTATAGTTTTATCTTTTATATTAAAGTGGACGTTTCTACTATACCTACCTGCTTTGAACTTGGCTGGTGCCACTTATGCCTCTTGTATTCCAGGGACTTTCAGTAACATATTTTCTTCATGTGTGTGTAGGTGCACGCATGCATGTGTGCATGCGTGTGTCAATACATTTTCTTACTATATCTTTTTGTCTTAAACTTACATAAATATCATTTAGTTTATTGGGTTGTCTTGTCATTTGGTTGTAAGCTTCTTTGTTTTATGTTTCTTCCAGTTCTTTTTTTTTTTTTTTTTGGCGTCTGGCTGGTATGGGAATTCGAACCCTTGCCCTTGGTGTTATAATGCTGCACTCCGACCAGCTGAGCTAATTGGCCAGCCCATTCCAGTTCTTTACAGTATATTTATTTAGTTGATTTTAAACTATATTTAAACTTTCAATTTATTTTTAAACTGTATATTTAAAATTATTTCTAATGGCAAAAATTCAAATATTTACAGCTATAAGATAAAATGTAAAGTTTTCCTTTCTTTTCTCTCCCTATTCGAATTCCTCAGAGGCAACTACCATTAAGTTTTTTGTGTATTTTTTCAAAAGTATTCTTTGTATGGGTATGCATATTTTCTTTTACCCAGATAAGATTTGCTCTGCAGTTATTTTTTTTTTAACCTCATAGATCTTGGACATCTGTTTCACAGTAGTTGCATGGTGTACCATTGTTAACTAGCCATTCTCCTACAAATGGGTTTATTAGGTTCTTCGGAATATTTCACAATTACAAGCAAACTTTACTGATATTTATATGACATCTTTAGGTATGTGCACATGTATTTCTTTAGGACTTTATCTGAGTTAAAGAGTGATCACATTTAAATTTTTGATACTAATTATTCTCCAAAAAGGCTGGACCAGTTTATCTTCTCATGGTATATTAGAGGACCAGTTTGCTCATATCCTTGAGAAGATTCGGTGTTATCAAATTTTAAAGCTTTGCCCATGTTGTATTTTAAACACTGAATAATTATAAAGTGATTAGATCATTGTGTGCAAAATTTATCATCAAGTACAATAACGTACTTTTTTGTTATTCGGTTTGGATTTTTTTGGTGGCTGACTGGTATAGGGATCCAAACCCTTGACCTTATTATTATAACACCCCTCTCTAACCAACTGAGCTAACAGGCCAGCCCCAATGATGTGCTTTTTAATAGTATTTCAGTCTCAGTAGTATTAATAGTTGAGAGAATGCTGGATATATCAGCTCTTACCATATCTCGAAACTATTAATAGGGGCCGGCCCGTGGCGCACTCGGGAGAGTGCGGTGCTGATAACACCAAGTCAAGGGTTAAGATCCCCTTACCGGTCATCTTTTAAAAAAAAAAAGAAAGTATAGTTGTTATATCTTCTTCCACAACTATACTTCCATGAAGTTGTTACAACAAGCAAACGGAAAGGACATTCTTGGGGGGGAGGGGAGAGAGGGAGGAGGGAGGGAGGTGTCGGTGACGGGCCATAATAATCATATACAGTGTATATTGACAAAATAAAAAAAAATAAATAAATAAAATAAAAAAAAATAAAAAATAAATTTCTAACAAGCATAAAAAAAAAAAAAAAGAAAGAAAGAAAGAAAGAAACTGTTAATAGTCCTTTGTTTTTAAACCACCTTTCCTGCATCTGCTGTCTCATTTCTCTTCCCTTTGTAGCAGAACCTTGAAGGTGTCCTCTGTGAGTCACTGTAACCACTTTTCCTCCCCCCATTCTTTCTTCAGTCCACTCCATTCACCTTTCACCTCCACTGCCACTGAAACTGCACTTGTCAAGATAATCATAAATGACCTTCACTTTGCTAAATCCAATGGTTAGTTTTTATTTCTCTTCTTACTGGACCTATCAACAGATTTGGTACACATTCTCCACTTGGTTTTCAGGCTACCACATTCTTAGTTTTCCTTCTACTTAACTGTTTGCTCCTCAGGCTTTCTTGCTGGTTCCTTATAAATGAACCAATAAATGATGTGCCTCAGGACTCACTCTTTGGTGCTCTTCTCTCCTTTTTCATTTTTTGATCTCATCCAGCCTCATGACATCAAATACCATCTATATGTAGCTGACTTTCAATTTTTTACTTCCAGTTCAGACTACTGTCTTGAACTCTGGAATCATAGATCCACTGTCGTCTTGAACTCTGGACTTATAGATCCACTGTCTATTCAGCCTTCCCAAGTGAAACCTAATAGACATCTCAAGCTTAATTGGTCAAACACCGAACTGCTATTTCCCTCTCAAGCCAATTCAACACCCACTCTTCCCCAGATCAGTTGATGGCAGCTCTAATGGCCCAAGACAAAACCTTGGAGTCATCCTTCACTCATTGCTTTCTCTCAGGTTCCATATCCTGGAAGTCTAAATGGTCTGTCAGGGAATCTTAATGGCTCTCCCTTGAACATAAATCCAGAATCCAGCTACCATCCTGATATGAACCACCATCCTGTCTATCCCCTCACCCCCTGACTCACGGATTACTGCAGTGTCCTCCTAAGGGGGCTGCCCACTTCCACTCCTGCAGAACACAACAGCCAGAGCGGTCTTTTAAAATCCCAGGTAAGAGTGAGTTATTACTCTACTCCAATGGCTGTCATCTCACTCAATAAAATCCAAAGTGTACAGTGGTTTACAAGGGCCCACATGATCTCTCTTCTGTCACCTCACAACCTCATCTCCTGCCACGCTGGCCTCCTTGTTTATGGATTATACCAGTTTAGTGCCTTCACACTGGCTGTTCCCTCTGCCTGGGATGCTCTTTCCTTAGAAACCCACATGGACCCCCTGCCACCTCTTTAAAGTCTTTGCTCAAATCTCGGTTTCTCAATGGTGCCCACCAGGACCTTCTTATTTAAAGTTGCAAGCACCTCCCACCCAATATATAGTCACATTTTCAGTTCCCCTAACCTTACTCTATTTTTTTCTCTAGGCACACTTATCTCCTTTTAATATACCATGTGATTCAGTTATCAGTTATTCTTTCTTGCTGTTATCTTTCTCTCCTCAGTAGAATCCCACAAGGGCTGGGTTTTTTTTCCCTGTCTTGGTCACTGATGGTTCCCAGGGTTCTAGAATAGTGCCTGGCACATGGTAGGTACCAAATAAATATTTGTTGAATGAATGCCTGGATGAATTCTGAGTAAGGGATACAAGTGAAAACTTTTACCTGTGAATTTTATAGTTGTGGTTTTTAAAAATTTGTAATATAGAGAAATGTAAGAAAATAAATTTATTAACTGTTAATTTTGAGTTATAGTTTTTCTTATATTTAAAGTTCTAGATCTGTTTTCTTTTCTAAATTTTCAGCTTCAGTTGTGGAGGGTCAAAAGGGTATCATTCCTCGAGCCATTCAAGAAATATTTCAAAACATCTCTGAAAATCCTAGCATTGACTTTAGTATCAAAGTGTCTTATATAGAAGTATACAAGGAAGATCTAAGAGATCTTTTAGAATTGGAGACATCCATGAAGGATATTCATATTCGAGAAGATGAAAAAGGAAACACAGGTAAAGTAGCTTACTTTATTGATAGCCTCCATTAGCAAACAGAGATCATTGAATTCAGTTTCTGGACGTAGTACAAAGAATCTTGAAAAAAAAGACATACAAGCAAAATGAATTTGTTTTTACTTTAAAATCGAACAGCTTGTTGATTATCAGTGAAATCACTCAGGTGAAAAAGCAGAAGTTTAGACAAGGTAAAGTTACTAATTTGTAATTCAAGATGTTTGTTTCCTGTAATTTCTCCCCTCTGGATTGACCTTAAGTGAGACTAAGTTTGCTTTTGTGTTTTTTTCTCCCAGAGCTACCGGCATGGGGATGGCTTTTTCTCTTAGGTGTTCTTTCAGCTCGACCCAGAACTTTCCTTTCTTCATCTTTGATTTTTGTACCACCACTCCTATTTCTTCTTCTCCCTCTCTTTTAGAGAGTTTATGGTTTTCTTATCCATATTGACATTATTTACCTGTTTGTTGTGCTTCTCAATAAACAGGTTGATTTCTCTGATTTTCTGTGCTAGCAACCTGTTAATCTCATTAACTAATACCCATCTGTTTGGAAATGGGAGTAGTATGGGAGGGTCAAAATGCAAGTATTTTAAAGAATAATACCTTTCTGCTTGAAAGGTAATGTTTTCTTTATAGAACATTTGAAAACAGAAAAATATAGGGAAGAAAATTAAAGATCGTCTTTAATCCTGGATTCTAGAAGTAGCAACTTCTCTTTTTGGTGTGTTTCCTTCCAGATTTCTTTTTCTGTACACATGTAATTATTTTTTAAAAATATATATGCAATGCACATATAGTTTTACACTTCATTTTTTCACTTAATATTTATATTATGAGCATTTTCACAAGTTATTTAAATATTTTTTGTATTTATGACTTTGTGGTCATGGTAATTTGTCTCATGAATGTATTATAATAATTTATTTAACTAATAGTGCATTATTGGACATTTAGGCTGTTTTCAGGTTTTCCCTATTATTATTAACATTGTTCTTGGACTGTTCTTGGATGTCTTCCTCTCCTAGAAAACACATTTAGTAGAACCTTCCTAGAGGTAAAGAATCCTGCCAGAGGAGTGACTCCGTAGGGGGCATTTCTAGCAGTTAGGAAAGTAAGATGTCTGTTGTCATTCAAATGGAAGCCTGCGGGGGACAGTAAATCTTGCCTCCATGGCAATGTCCTAGCAGCCTTGGCAGTCCTGGATGTTTGAAGAAATTGGTTTTTGTTTTACTTTTTAGGAAGAAAGTATACGTGGTAGTTTATAGTATTGTTACATAATTCAATATAGTTCATCTTTTCTGGATAGAATTCAGACTGATGTTTTGGGCTTCTGTATCTTATGGAATGTAGTTATTGAATGTTTTTATCTTTTATCAAAAAGTTACAAAAACTCCTACATGTTTATCATAAAACATCAAACAATATAGAAGTATACACTACCACTCCAGATAATGGTCAGAATATTCTATAGCTGATATAAATCCTGCAAAAATTTTGGAAGGATGTAACAAATTATCTTAAGACAAATTGTCATGTGTCTTGTATAATGTCTCACGCATAATCAAAGTGTATTTGTTTGACATATTTCTGTTGTACCTCTATGTGAAGCAGTGTTCACCCTGGCTGCTGCACAATTAGCATCACCTGGGAAGCTCTTTAAAAAACTTCTCAGTGGTTCTGAATTAATTGGTCTGGGATGGAGCCTGGTCATTGGTACTTTCTTTTTTATAAGCTACTGGGTGATTTGCAGCCAGGTTTGAGAACCATAGTGCTAAGTTATAGTCTAACATTAAAAAAATTGCCATATTATATAAACCCTGATATTTTAACACTGACTGTTTTTAGTACAGGTACTTTAGAACTTTAAATGAACTAGGTTGTTAAAAAAGTGTTATGATGGAAATAATGTAAGTAAAATGATTATTTTTCAAAGAAATAGTGACACGACAAGATCTGAGGAAAGAGGAAGTATAGCATAGCAATGTAATCTGAGCATGGAATCAGGAGCTTTACTGTTCTGATCCAAATCCCAAACCCACCTACTCCTTTTTGAAGTATTTTTGAATATAAACACAGAATGCAGGTAGTAAGCTTCAATTATTTTTGGTTCTTATTCCGCCATTAAGATAGAAACTTTTTTGCTTTTTTTGAATTGCTGTCTCATCCGTTTATTTCACACTCTATTATGTAGGGCATACCTGTTTTTAAACTGGATTTTTCATTTATTATTGATTATGATTCCATAATACCAAAAAACCTTAAAGCTAAAGATGGCTTGAATATTAATGAAACTGAAAAGAAACTGATTTCTTTTAATTGACCTACTACTGATTAACTCTTTTGAATTATATAATCTATTATCTTTTATTAATCTATTAGACTGTATAAATCAAAATATTAGACTAAAGAGTTTTTCTTTTGTCAGTCATTTTAAAGAATTGAGTGTGATGTGTAACTCCAAAGAAAATTGATTTTTTAAAAAAAATTACATCTTTTAGAATTTAAACATCAAAATGAATTCTTTCTGTTAAAACAGGTCCTTTGGAAGATTATCTAAAATTATTTAATGATGTTGTCTATGTTACTATTGTTTGAAATGCTGTTGATTTTTTTGAAGGGACTATGTTGGCTGGCTATTTATATTTAGCAAATGGATACTGTTGTGTGGTTAATTTAACTATACTGGATTTTGATGAAAACTTTGGTTAAAATCTTGCTATTGCTATTTTAAGTGATTTTTGGAGCCAAGGAATGCCACGTGGAGAATGCAGATGAAGTGATGAGTCTTCTGGAGATGGGGAATGCAGCGAGACATACAGGTACCACCCAAATGAATGAGCACTCCAGTAGATCACATGCAATTTTTACAATCAGCATTAGCCAAGTTAAGAAAAATATGGAGGCAGCTGAAGATGGATCATGGTATTCCCACTGCCATATCGTCTCAAAGTTCCACTTTGTGGATTTGGCTGGATCAGAAAGAGTAACCAAAACAGGGAATACTGGTGAACGGTTCAAAGAGTCCATTCAAATCAACAGTGGGTTGCTGGCTTTAGGAAATGTTATAAGTGCTCTTGGGGACCCACGCCGGAAGAGTTCACATATTCCATACAGGGATGCTAAAATCACCCGGCTTCTGAAAGATTCCCTGGGAGGCAGTGCCAAGACTGTCATGATCACATGTGTCAGCCCATCCTCCTCAGATTTTGATGAGTCCTTAAATTCTCTCAAATATGCCAACAGAGCACGGAACATTAGAAACAAACCTACCGTAAACTTCAGCCCCGAGTCAGACCGTATGGACGAAATGGAATTTGAAATTAAGTTGCTTCGAGAAGTTTTGCAAAGCCAGCAGACTAGTATCAGCCAGACTAGCCAGATCCATCGAGAGGGGACTCCTGATAAAAATAGGGTCCATTATCTTGAGGAACAAGTAGCTGAGCTACAAGGAGAATGTCTGGGTTACCAAAATTGTATAGAAGAAGCCTTTAACTTCCTGGTGGACTTAAAAGGTGCTGTTGGACTAAACCAAAATCAGCAATACAAACTGCAAGAGTGGCTTAACGCGACCCGGGAGGTCAGGAAGCCTGTCCTTACCTCTTTCCGAGAAAACCAAGGAACTGGAGACCTGGAAGAAGGACCACAGCATATTACACTTCTCCAGCTGAAGAGGGAGCTTAAGAAATGCCAGGTACTTAGACATCACTTTTATGAGTAACTTGTTTAAGGAGTAACTTGTCTAAATTTCTTTGGCAAGTAAATTCTGAGTCATTTTGGAATTTCAGAGGTTTTTAAAAAGGACAGTATTTAGAATCTCATTTGTCTTTCCCTTATTCTTTCTTTCTACCCCCTCTTTTCCTATTGCTTCCTCCTTACATTTTATACCTTTCTTTGCTGCTCCTCCTTTCTCCTTTGGTTAAAATGTATTTTAATATGCTTTATTTATTAAATGGAACCTTGTACATTTGGTTGTTTATAGGATGGAAGAAACACATTTTCAGAAACAAAGTTACGTAGTTTACTGAGTTTTTCCTCCCTCTATGGGTCAGTGGTTCTTGAAAGAAAAGAATACTTAGTACCTTGAGTCTGGAATATAGATTTTAAAAACCCCCACAGATCAACATATTTGATAATATTTAAGGAATGAAGATATGTTCAAGTATGCATATGACATATACATATATTGAGTTCAGAATTACATTTCTCCACTTTTCATTCAGAAAACATTTATTGCATGAACGTTTTGTGTCTTGGAGTCGATACTGGAAAATAAGACACACGTAGTTCTGCCTGCATGGAATTTGCAATCTAGCGGACAAATTTTTTATTTAGTTTTTTTGGACAGTGGAAAATGGTGGAGGAATATAATACCTGCCACTTAAAAAAAAAACAAAAAAAAAACTGTGCCATAGCACATTAATGCCATATTCACATTATAGGAATTTAGTTTTAGCAAAACAAAATCATTCATCACATTATGTTAATGCTGTTATTTTTAGATATTTCAAAACAAAATCATTCATCACATTATGTTAATGCTGTTATTTTTAGATATTTTTCCATTCGTATTTAATTTATAAACTTATTTTTGCTTTATGTTACATAAGAGCTTTAAACATACAAACGTTTAAGTAACAGTATAATAAAAATAATTGAGTATGGGCCGGCCCGGTGGCGCACTGGATGGTGTGCCGCTTGGGAAGCGCGGCGGCGCTCCCGTCCGAGGGTTCGGATCCCACATACAGACCGGTTCCCGCTCACTGGCTGAGCGAGGAGCGGGAACAACACCGAGGGTTGCAATCCCGTTGCCGGTCCCCGGTCTGGTACGGGGGCAACACTGAGGGTTGCGATCCGTTGCCGGACACGGAAAAAAGACAAAAGAAAAAAAAAAAAAAAAAAAAATAATTGAGTATAATGCTAGAAACCTGAGAGATTATCTTTTTAAAAATAATTTGCACATTACTCAGGATGGAAAAAAACTATTATTGAAAAAAGAATCAGAGTCATAATCAGACTGGCTCAAAAGTAAAAGCTTTATTTATTTTTTAACTTTTTACTGTGAGAAATTTAATACACATACAATAATTCCAGCTACAGTAATCAGCAACTCATGGCCAATCTTATCTTATTTGTACCACACCACCCACTTTCTGCCTTCCCCCTGGATTATTTTGAGTAAATCCCAGTATCAAAGCATTCATCTGTATATATTTCAATATGTGTCTCTAAAAGATAAGAACTCTTTTATAAAAGACATAACTGCAATATATAATCACATTTTAAAAATCAATACTAATTCCTTAATATAATCAAACATTAAACATGTTTAAATTTCTCCAAATCTCTCCCCTTCCCTCTTTCTTTCTTAAAATTGATTTGTTTACATTAGGATCCAGACAAGTTCTGCTTGTTTCATTGGTTGCTATGTCAGTTGTCTCTTAAGTTTCTTTTAATCTATAGGCTCCCTTTCATTTAATTTTTTTCCTTTTACTCCATAAAGTTTCCCAAGGTCTGGATTTGCTGGCTCCATCCCAGTAATGTCATTTAACATGTTCCACCATCCCTTGCATTTCCTGGTGATTGGTTGCTAGATATGAGGCTTGGATTCACTCAGGTTAGATTTGGCTTCAGAGGTATATGTTCTTACTGCAGGAGGCCCATTATGTCTGGTAGTCTCTCTGTGAAGTTAGCAGTCATTGATGATCATTTGCTAGATCCATTATTTTAATCGGGGTTTGCAAAGTACCATATTCTAATTATTTTATTCCCTCTTTATTTACTAGCAGGGATACATTGCTAGACAGAAAAGTTCCCTTCTTAGCTATTTATGGTTACCCTGAGGAACATTCATATAGGAAAGACAGGAGAAATGCTTGGCTCTTCCCTTTTTACTTACTGGTTTTAGAAAAATTTAACATTTCCCTGTTATCTTCCAGAGAGACTGAGAGTTAGTTTGCTTTTGATTTATTGTCATTATGTTTTTTTGTGGTGGTAAGATTTAGTTTCTTTCTCTTTCTAGTTTGCATTTTTGTATTGTCAATGGGTTTGTTCTTTCTTGTGTATTTATGGTACTGATTATTGTTTTTCGGATTCCAGGTGCAGGACTCCCTTGAGAATTTCCTTTAGGGCTGGTTGTAGTGGTGAACTCCCACAGCTTTTGTTTGTCTGGAAAATACACTATATCTCCTTGATTTTCGAAGGATAGGTTTGCTGGATATAGTGTTCTTGGCTGATAGTTTTTTTCTTTTAGTATTTTGAATATATCATCCCATTTCCTTCTGGCCTGTAGAGGTTCTGTCAAGAAATCTGCTGTTAGTCTGATAGGGGCTCCCTAATAGGTGACATGATGCTTTTCTCTTGCTTCTTTTAAGATTCTCTTTGTCATTGAGCTTTGCCAGTTTGACTATAATGTGTCTTGGAGAGGATCTTTTTGGGTTGAATCTATTTAGGGATCTTTGAGCCTCCTGGATCTGAAGGATCATGTCTCTCCCTAAACACAGGAAATTTTCCATTATTATTTAATTGAGTAGGTTTTCCATGCCTTTTCCTTTCTCCTCCCCTCTGGAACACCCATGATTTTAATGTTTGTGCACTTAAGGTTGTCTGCTAGCTCTCTTAGATTTTCTTTATTTTTAAGAAAAATTTATTTATTAATTTTTTTTTACATTCTTTGTACATTTTCTTACATTCAGATATTGTGGAGCAGTTGTTGGTGAGGGGAGAGAGGAAGGGGGAAGGAAATAGGGTGGGAAGAGTAGGAAGGAGGGAGGGCTTTGTTGAGGCCCATGGCAACCCCTCATTCCAGCAGAGGAGATGAGGGGATTCCAGCGGTGGGCTTGGTGATCATTGCTGGGCTGGTTGTGGATGTCAGTGGGGCAGGGCCAAGGCCCTCGATGCCCCCATGACCCCAGTTCAGGAGCCTGGTACGTTTCCTGCAGTGGCAAGGTGATCATCACTGGGCTGGGTGTGGTCTTTGGGGGGGCATAGATGAGGCCGACAGCCCCCCTTCCTCCCTGGCTTGGGAGCCCAGGGGGCTTCCGGTCCTTCTGGGTTTTATGGATGTTCTTTGGTGGTATTAGACTTTTACTAGTTAATATCAGACTTTGTCTCTGATCTGTGGGTATTTTTTTTTCTTCTTTCAGTTCTGTGTTGGATTATTCGCTGTTCCCACCAATTTAACTCTGCACTGGAACTAATTTGTTGTTCTTTGCTTACTAATAAAATGGGGGAACTTCCTGTGGGACCAGCACTTGAGTCTTGTAGTTGAGCTACATTGCTGCTTTGCTGCAGATTCTCTGGGGAAGACTTTTTGTGCAGCTCAGGTTTTAGTTGTTGACCTCGTAAGCACTTCGATGTCTGTGAGGTCTGGTGCACCTGGGTTGCATTGAAACTCTGGTCTGGGCCTGAGACTGTTCAGCAAACTGCACCCCCTACAGTTCTGTATTCCTGACCAGTCTCCACTGAGTGAGTCTCTGCTGATCGGGGGCAGATCAGCTGTCCATGCTGTGTCCCAATGTTCCCCCGGTAGGCCCTTCTCCCCCACTGCCCACACTCCTGACACTTCCCATGGGATAGGCCAGTCTTTTGTGATGACTCACTGGCCTCTGAGTGACTCCTCTCTCCTATGTGGGTCCACGGGAACCCTATTAGTGGTCTTGCTCTTCTAGGGGCCGCCAAGACCCTCTTCTCTCCTGCTGCCTCCAAGCAACTTCATATGAAGGGCACAGCTGCAGCATTTGCCAGCTTTTGCTCTGTGGGCTTACCAGGGCCAGCTTTAAAGTGACTGTGCTCAAGATGGTCAGAGTGGTCCTCTCTTTCTCTCTTCATGACTTCTTCTGCCTTCATGAACTCTGTAGGTCTCTCCTCCTCTTCTCCCGAGCTCTAGAGGCCATAGCTTTGCTGTGGATCGATGCTTTATAATAGCTGTAAATTGGTTGATTTGTAGGAGAGAGTGACACTGGGGACCATCTATTCCACCATCTTAACTGGAAGCCATTTTATTGCCTTTCTTATTCCACATTTTGAATGCAGGAATAGTATTTTAACATAAAATGAACAGATAAACACTCTTTTAAGTAAATAATAAACCGGATAAAGCTAAGTTATAAAGTATATGTAAAAATATTTAAATATGCAGACCTAAGGGAGCAATTATATTTTAAGCTTCTCAAGTAGACAATTAATTGTCTATAGAAAGAGGATATTAACTAAAGAGAATTATAGATACATTTTTTAATTGAAACAGAATTGATTATACGTGTTGTTAAAATAATTGATTATATGTATTTATGACTATCAGTATTTGTGTATAGTATGTGATGATCAAATCAATATTATTACCACGTTCATCATTACAAATCGTAATTACTCTTTGTGTCTCCTTTCGATTACTCCCCACCCCTCCTCCCCCTCTCCCATATCTTATTTTATAGACTAGAGAAGTCACATAGGTTATATAACCATACAGTGTTATAAGAACCATCAGGATTATGCAACTCCTCATTATTTGGTAATTTAAATTCCAAGCAGAGAAATGTAGGGACTTGCCCTAAGCCCCACCATGAAGCTGTAGCGAAAGCAAGACTGGCCTCAGTCCATCGGTTCCCAGTGTGGGGGCCGATCCACTGCTCTTCCACATCTGGAAGAGTCACACACATACTATGCTTTATGAATTAAATTTTATTTGTGAACACTATTTTTGTAAATCAGCTACTCATTCTTGGCTTTCCCTGTAGCTTTGTAGAAAGAGCACAGGCTTTGGATCCAGTTGGGCCCTGGGGTTGAATCTCAGGGGTTTGGTTTATCCATTGTATCTTTGCAGGAAGAGGTTTTAATCTCACGGAGCCTTAGTTTCTTCATGAAAAGGAATAATGCCTATTCAGTGAGAAATTTTAGATACTAACTCAGTATCTGGCATGAAGTAGGCCCTCGACAAATGATCATTTTCTTTCTGTTTATTTAATCTAAAATTTGTTTTGCAATTATTTGCATATTTCAGTTTTACTTAAAAACAGGCAAATTCACCAGAAACCAAGAAATAAAACTATTTAACCATATTTTCAGACATCTTCAAAATATCTCTCTTGATAGTGAAAGTGTACAAAATCAACAAATATACTTTATTTAAATGCCCAAATGCTTTCTTATATCCTATAGGTCAATTTGGAAAATGTGACCTCTTTGATTTTTAAAAACCCACTTTAAAATCTCACAACATTTCTAGCAAACTTGTAAAAATCTTATATAATGTTCTCTAGAACCTAAGTAACTGGTTTTCATATACAGGAAATAAAAATCAGGAAAATATTCCTGTCTTTATGATAATTAGTTCCTATGTTACAGCAATGATAGGTCCTCTCAACTGTTTCTGCCTTTCTTAGAAAAAAATCAGAAAAAGTTGAAAAAGAAAAGGGTAAGAAAAATGTGAGACATTGTCAAGCTATCATCAAATCACTGTTTTTGTGGTATTGTGTGGGTTCTCCTGGGTATTTTCCGTGGTGAATATCACTTGTGCCTTCTTTCCCTCCTAGTGTGCTCTTGCTGCTGATGAAGTCGTATTTAGTCGGAAGGAACTGGAGGTGAAGGGCCTGAAGAATCAAGTGCAAATGATGGTACAGGAAAATGAAGGACATGTCGTATCTTTGGAAGAAGCACAAAAAGTGAATAGATTGCAGGTAGGGTTTCTTAAGGTATCTGTCTCTGAAGATTTAGTTGAAATGTACCTCACTAAGCAGAATAGCATTTTCAATAATAAATGGGAACGTTTTACAAAAGCTTGCTTCAGTTGAAGAGTTCTGCACATAGGTATCTGAATTATTATAGTTTTCCCTCCCTCTAAATCTGCTTAAAGAGAAAAGATTTTTTATTGTTAACCTGACTTTTACTTCACAAATATAAAGATAGTTCCCAGGAACTTATTTTACAAATCATATTGTGGTTATCTTTTCTCCATACTTTTCCCTTCCATTGTTTGCCAAGGTACCTAGGCAGTGTGATACTAAGAGTTGGAAGGTAAACATATAATTTAAACTTTTTTTTATACCCCATGAGTGATTTTCTCTTTAACTTTGGTTAAATCTTTCAAATTCTCTGTCTTACCTTTCCTAGTATTAACATGGATATGCCTGCAGTGTAACACAGTATGTCCCTGGCTGTGACTCCCCTACCCTCCGGATAGCTAATGTTATTTTAAGCCTTTGGCTTTCTGTCAGAGAGGGAGTAACTAATGCCCCGAGAAATAATCTGACCCAGCACAAACTGGATTTTGATTTTGACATTATTTTACTTTTTTTAACTCATTTAATTGTGTAATAATTTTTAAATATATATAAAACAAAATGTATTGCTCAGGGATTTATCACAAAGACAACAGCTGGGTAACCACCACCAGGTCAAGAAATTGCAAACTGCCAGGCTCTCAGAAGTCCTTAGTGCCTCCTTCCGATTACTATCCCTCGCATTCCCCTAACTTGTATGGTAGTCATTTCTGCACTTTTCATATGGTTTTTCTATTGAAGTATGTATCCTTAAACACTACAGTTTAGTTTTTGGAATTGTTATAAATTTATTCAGTAAGTTCCTTAGTATCTGATTGCTTTTATTAAACATTTTGTTTGTTATGATTCATCCATGTTGTATGTAACTGTGGCTTGTTTAGTTTTATAGCTATATAGGATTTTATTGTATGAATATATCACAGTTTTTTTTTTCTGTTCTACTGTTGGTGGTTATTTGTGGTTTTTTCCTATGACTTTTTGTCTTACGTGTCTCTTGGTACACATACAGCACACACATTTTTCAGATTTGTGCCTAGGAGTTGAATTGCTCGGTCATAGGGTTGGTGTATCTTCTACTTTAACAGATAATGCCAGGCTATTTTCCAATTTACATTCTCACCCAGCACTGTGTGAATGTTCCTGCTAATCCACATGCTTTTCAAAATTTGTTATTGTTAATTTTTAAATCTTAGCCAATTTGGTAGGTATGTATTATTATTTTATTGTGATTTTAATTTGCATTTTCCTGATGACTAGTGAGGTTGAGCATTTTTTCTTGTTTTTTGCTATTTGGATATTCTCTTTTGTGAAGTGCTTGTTCAAGTCTCTAACTTGTTTTTCTTTTCTTTTTTTTTTTTTTCCTTTTTGTCCTTTTCCGTGTCCGGCAACGGATCGCAACCCTCAGTGTCGCGCCCGTACCAGACCGGGACCGGCAACGGGATCGCAACCCTCGGCGTTGCCCCTGCACCTCGCTCAGCCAGTGAACGGGAACCGGTCTGTAAGTGGGATCCGAACCCTCGGCGGGAGCGCCACCACGCTCCCAACCGGCGCACTGCAGCAGTGCGCCACTGGGCCGGCCCTTTCTTTTCTTTTTTAAAAGATGACTGGTAAGGGGATCTTAACCCTTGACTTGGTGTTGTCAGCACCATGCTCACCCAGTGAGCAAACCGGCCATCCCTATATGGGATCCGAACCCGTGGCCTTGGTGTTATCAGCACCGCACTCTCCCGAGTGAGCCACAGGCCGGCCCCTCTAACTTGTTTTTCTACTGGATTGTCTGTCTTTTAGATTAATTTGTAGAAATTTGTTATATATTCTGGATACGAGCTCTTTGTCAGTTACATGGTTGCAAATATTTCTTCGCTTTCTGTGGCTTGCTTTTTACTTTCAGTGATGCTTTTTTTCTTTTTAAAATACAGCAAGGAGATGCACATTTATTTGTTCAAATAAATACATAAACTGAATAACAGATGAAGAACAAAATACTCTGTAGAAAGTAGGGCTTTAAATTTTCATGAAAACTGGAGATGTAAAACTTATTAAAATTTACATATTTCATTTTATAATCTCTATAATTATTTGAAATAGCTCTCTAAAGTCTTCCAGAAGTATGCACATATCAAATTAACTTCAAGAGGAAGATGAGTAAACTTTTCAAAGGCAAATTAATTTCTAAGCAAATCAACAAGTCCTCTTAATAAAAAGAAATCAAGAACAAAAATCAAATAGCTAAGTTTAGCAACATTAATTGCATAAAAAATCAATAAAACAGAATATAAACTGAAAGGCACTTCAAAAAGTTTGTGGAAAAATAGAATTGAAAGATAATGGAAATCTTTCCATGAATGTTTTTTTTTGTTTAAATTTTTCTTTTCTTTTCTTTTTTCTTTTTTTTAAGAATAAGATCATAGAAAATATGTTCTCTGACCACAGTAACAAAAGGATATTTAGGAAACTGACAAATGTGTGGAAATTAAACAGCGCTCCTAAATAAACAATGGGTAAAAAGAAAAATCACGGAGAAATTAGAGAGGACTTTGAGATAAAGATCAAAGCGCAACATATCAAAATTTATAGGATGCAGGGTTCATGCAGTGCTTAGAAGAAAATTTATACTTGTAAACACCTATATTAAAAATAAGAATAATCTCTGGGCCGGCCCGGTGGCGCACTACTACAGTGCGCCGCTTGGGAGCGCGGCGGTGCTCCCGCCGAGGGTTCGGATCCCACATACAGACCGGTTCCCGCTCACTGGCTGAGTGAGGTGCTGGCACAACACCGAGGGTTGCGATCCCGTTGCCGGTCCCGGTCCGGTCCGGGCGCGACACTGAGGGTTGTGATCCATTGCCGGACGTGAAAAAAAAAAAAAAAAAGACCAACAAAATTTGCAAACCTTTATCTAGACTGACCAAGAAAAAAGAGAGAAGACTGAAATTACTAAAATCAGAAATACATAGGGGCATTATTACATTGACACTATAGCTTTTTGTGTTGGTAAGATTTGGTTTCTTTCCCTTTCTCATTTGCATTTTTGTTCTACTGGTGGGTTTTGTTCTTTCTTGTGTATTCATGGTAGTGATTACCACTTTTCAGATTCCAGATGTAGGACTTCTTTGAGGATTTCTTGTAGGGCTGGTCATGTGGTAGTGAACTTCCGCAGCTTTTGTTTTCTGGAAAATACACTATTTCTTCCTCATTTCTGAAGGATAGCCTTGCTGGGTGTAGTATTCTTGGGTGGAAGTTTTTTTCTTTTAGTATTTTGAATATATCCTGCCATTTCCTTCTGGCCTGTAGAGTTTCTGTTGAGAAATCTGCTCTTAGTCTGTTAGGAGCTCCCTAATAGGTGACTTGATGCTTTTCTCTTGCTTCTTTTAAGATTCTCTCTTTGTCTTTGAGCTTTGCCACTTTGACTATAATGTGTCTTGGAGAGGACCTTTTTTGGTTGAATCTGTTTGGGGATCTTTGAGACTCCTGGATCTGAAGGTCCTTGTCTCTTCCTATACCTGAGAAGTTTTCCATTATTATTTGGTTGCATAGGTTTTCCATGCCTTTTCCTTTCTCCTCCCCTTCTGGAACACTCACGATTCAAATGTTTGTGAGCTTAAGGTTGCCTGCTAGCTCTCTTAAATTTTCTTCATTTTTAAAAATGCTTTTTTCCTTTTTTTTATCTGCCTGGGTCATTTCGAAAAGACTATCTTCAAGATCAGAAATCCTTTTGTCTGGTTGTACTAGCCTGCTGCTTCAGCTATTGGTTGTGTTTTTTATTTCATTTTGTGAATCTTTTGGTTCCATGAGTTCTGCTACCTTCTTTTTTAAGGTAGTAATCTCTTTGTAAATTTCCTCCTTCATATCCTGAATTTTTTTTTCCCTCATTTCATTATGTTGTCTAACTGAGTCTCCTTTTGTTTCAGTGAGTCTCCTTATGACTGTTGCTTGGAATTCCTTCTCAGTTATTTTAAGGGTTTCCTGCTCTGTAGGGTCTAGTGTTCGAGAATTACTGTATTCCTTTGGTGGTGTCATATTTTCTTGGATTTTTGTATTTCTAGTATATCTACATTGATATCTGGTCACCTGGTACAGCAATTTTTTGTTCTGTTACTCTGGAGTGGACTTTGAGGAGAGAGACAATGTCTTCTTTTTGTAGTCTCCGCTGACTCTCCTTGTGTCATTCAGTTGAATGTCTGGTAGACTGCCTGTGTGGTGGCTGTAGTTGCTGCTGTGGCATCAAGCTGCTTTTTTGGCAGCCATGGCTGTGGCGGTGGCTGTAGTTGGCCACCCATTCAAAAAGTGGTGTTTTTGGCATGTTCTCTTGCCTGCTTCTGGGTGGAGGGGGCTGTGGCCCTTGGATGCTTCTCAATGGTGCCTTTTGATGAAAAGACTTCTTATTGTAATCAAATTTGGCAATCTTTTTCTTTGTGGTTAATGATGTTTGTTACTTATTTAACAGGTTTTTCCTTTTCCCAATCCTTCCCTTTGAGGATACTTTATTGTCTTCCATTATCTTCTGAATGCTGTCTTTATCATAAATCAAGGTCCATTTGTACATGAATTTATTGTCTATTTCTGGGCCTTCTGTTGTATCCTATTGGGTTTTTTTTCTTTGACCTATGGGTTATAGAATTATTTTATTTCCAATACATGGAGGATTTCTTTTTATTTTATTAATTTTTAGCTTAATTGCATTGTGGTCAGATAATATACTGTGTATGATTTCATTCTGTTGAATGTACTGAAACTTGCTTTCTGGCTCAGCGTAATGCTAGTTTTTGTAAATGTTACAGATGTGGTTGTAAAGAATGTGTATTCTACAATCATTGGGTGCTGTTAATCTTGTTATTCAAATTTATATTTTTACTTAGTCTGTTTTGGTCTTTTTTTTTTTTTTTTTTTTTAAAGATGACCGGTAAGGGGATCTTAACCCTTGACTTGGTGTTGTCAGCACCACGCTCACTAGTTTTTGTAAATGTTACAGATGTGGTTGTAAAGAATGTGTATTCTACAATCATTGGGTGCTGTTAATCTTGTTATTCAAATTTATATTTTTACTTAGTCTGTTTTGGTCTTTTTTTTTTTTTTTTTTTTTAAAGATGACCGGTAAGGGGATCTTAACCCTTGACTTGTTGTTGTCAGCTCCGCGCTCTCCCAAGTGAGCAAACCGGCCATCCCTATATGGGATCCAAACCCATGGCCTTGGGGATCCGAACCCATGGTCTTGGTGCTATCAGCACTACACTCTCCAAAGTGAGCCACAGTCCGGCCCTTTTTTGGTCTTTTTGATATCAGTAATTTGGAGACTGATAAAATCTCCCACTATGATTGTGGATTTGTCTTCTCCATTTTAGTGCTGATAGTTTTTGTATTATGTATATATAGAGAGAAACTGTGTTATTTAGTACATACAATGTACCATTCTTACATCATACTGGTAAATTGACCTTTTAATCATTTTTTACCTCTTTTTATTTCTTCTAATGGTTTTTGTCTTAAAGTCTACTTTGATATTACAATAGCTACACCAGACTTCATCTGCTAAATATTTACATGGTGTCCCTTTTTACATCTTATTTTTAATCTTTCTGTATTTTAGTTGTGTTTCTTGTAAGCAGCATATGGTCAGATAATTTTATAATCTTCTTTTATAATCTTTATCATTTGATTGGATTATTGTTTATTTATGATTTTAAAATAATTACTATTGTATTTCGGTTAAAATCCATCATTGCATTTTAATTTATTCTTCCAGCTCTATGTTCCCTTTTCTCTGCTTTCTTACCTTTTTTTGGATCAATTGGGTGATTTTATTTTTCTATTGTTTTCTCCATTAACTTAGAAGCTGTACTTTTACTCTTTTTAGTGGTTATCCTGGAGAGTATACCATGCACCATTGACTTAATAAATTGTAATATTAATTGGTATTTTTGCCCTTTTTCGAGACAATGTAAGGACTCCATTTAGTCCTTCCCAACTTACATGTCATTGGTGTTGTATATTTTAATTATCTGATTACATGATTTTTGCATTTTTTTGCTCATTAACACAATGAAACTTTAGGGTTTTTTTTCCCCCTATTTAAATACTGTAGTACATGTGAAGCATTAAAATGTATGACAATTTCTTGTTTACATAATTTTGTGCTTCTGAAGCAAAGATTGATGTTAGAGCTCTCTAGATTATATGCACTTCAAAAATTTTCCTTAGAGCATATGTGAAAAACTAAACCACACACACACACACACACACACACACACACACACACATTCCTGATAGACAGTTTGTACTGCCTTTGACTTCCAAGTTCTCCTTCCTTCCAGGACTGTCAGTTTATCTTGTCTGTGCTTTTAACTTCCTTTTTCACTGAGTAAAGGCTTTCACTTCGCTGCACCTGTTATTACTTTCCATTCCCTTTGCTGCAACATCTGCTATTTGCAATTCTTTCTCTACTTTTCAACTTTCTTGTCTCTTGTTACTTCTTGAATTTCACTCAGAAAGTTCATACTTTTTTTTTTTTTAAAAGATGGTAAGGGGATCTTAACCCTTGACTTGGTGTTGTCAGCACCGCGCTCAGCCAGTGAGCCAACCGGCCATCCCTATATGGGATCCGAACCTGTGGCCTTGGTGTTATCAGCACCGCACTCTCCCGAGTGAGCCACGGGCTGGCCCACGAAGTTCATACTTTTATAAACATG